TGTTTGTAAAGCACAGTTCTTTTATTCCTATCTAAGGACAAACATCTCTCAAATTAGACGTTATACATTGCATAGTAATTTCCTTATCTCTCCTCTCTTTCTCCAACACATAATTGGAACTCTGCTTTTATTTTATATATACACACAAGTTCTTGAAGTTTCATTGTGTATATTAATTATACATGCTACTGTCTTATGTAATGATATTTTCCCATAGTATATTGAACACATAACTCCCATATCACTGAGGTAGACCCCCTTCTCACCTTTTCAACGTATGTTAACTCTCTTTCTTCTAGCTAGACAATTTCACCCATACTTTCATGTCATATATACATGTGCAATTTCTATGTATCTGTTTAAAATGTAGACCATAAATGAGAGAAAACATTATATTTTATCTTTCTGAAACTGGCTTTATCTATTTAATATGATCATCTCCGTTTTTCTTTGTGAAAAAAATCCATTGTGTATGTACACCACATTTTCTTTATCCATTCTATTGGTTTTGAACAGTTGGCTTGGTTCCATAATGCAGCTATCATAAATAATATCACAACAAACACTGGTATACCAAGTAACAAGAAAATTAGTCCTAGGAAGAACTACCTTACAAACAGTGATAAAAAGAAACTTATTAGTAAGTACAGTCTAGACTGATCGAAGTCTGGATCTCATAAAGGAAGCCCTCAAAGGATGAAGAACTGAAAGGAAAATAAAGATTTCATTTTTCTTATTCTTCATTGTCCTAGGACATAACAGTTTCTGAAAAATCCAGCACCATGTTTGATATATATATATATATATATACATATATATATACAAAATATACATACATATGCAAACATATGTTTCCATGTGCATGTCTATGTGTGTGTGACTGTGTCTGTGCATGTGTTTATAAACCTATACATAAGAGGTGAATGACAGTAGTGATTTAAGGTAAATGAATTTAAGAAGAAGGACTTTGTTTTTATAAAGTATACATATTAACTGTGAAGTAGGATTGTTTTTTGAAAGTGGACTTAGATGAATTGTGGATGTATACTGTAACCTCTATAGTAACTACTAAAGAGTTAAATAAAAATTATAATTGTCATACTAAGAAAGAATAGGAAATAGAAACATATGAAAGTCTCAACATATGCACCCTAAAAAGTGTGGCAGGAAAATATGGGGGATGAAGAAAAACCTTTAATAGATAAACAGCAACACATAGAACAACTATACATTAATTACATTAAATGTTACTATTCTAAATGCACCAATTAAAAGTCAGAAAGTGTACAATTTAAGCAAACCTAAGACCTAACTATATATTGCCTAGAAGAAAGAAACATTAAATGTAGAATTCATATGGATTGGAAGTCAACAGAATCCCCAAAACAAGGCACCTGAATTAAATTGGTGCCTGATGCTCATCCTCCATTCCTTCAAAGTGAACCAATTTATGAATAAACTGCATTTTCACTGAAGTATCTAGGAGTTCTGGAGTACAATGGGAAATGATGAAAACATGGAATTTCAGGCTGGTAAATGAAATAAGAGAATACAATCATTCATCCTGTCTGGCTCACCCCAACTCTGACCAAGATCAGGAGGGATTATTTCCTTCAAATAAAAGGTGATAAAAAGGCTTCCAGAGCCATTGCTCCACCCTTTAACCACCATGAACATTCTTTGACTCTCTAGGCCCTCATCCCAGTGGAGGTAGTTGCCTACATGGCTCTTTGAATCCTGGGAAGAAATCCACATCACACTCCACCCACACTATTGGCACAAGCTGCAACTCTACGACACCACCTTGAAACCAGAGGCAATACTAGAGTCTCCTCGGCTCTAGGAGTCAGTCGGCATGAAGGCTTGCCATCCCTGAGGCTTTGGCATCATTGCACCAGACTTATACATGGTGATGACTGCCCAGCTGACGTTTTTCAGCTCCCTAGCTCTGGGAAACTGTCACCGTGCCCTTCCACAGTGGCTCTGGAGTTCCACTGCCGTGCACTCATAGTGGCAAGTGAGACGACAGTGGCTAGAGGAGAGGGGCTCCACCTTCCCAGTGCTGCAGTCATTTAATAGAGTTCCTCGTGCTGTGGTGACCTCCAACCATAAAATTAGTTTCATTGCTACTTCATAACTGTAATTTTTTACTGTTATGAATAGTCATGTATAGATCTGTGTTTTCTGATGGTCCAAGGCAACCCCTGTGAAAGGGTCATTTGAACCCCCAAAGAGCTCACAACCCACTTGTTAGGAACCATGAGGCTAGAGCATCTATGACCACATTATACTATTTCTCCACAATATTAGCCTACTTAGATCAATGAAATTCCTGACCCTGATCCAGGAAAGCACCCACAGACATCTTTCTCCCTTTCCTCAAAGTAGCTGGTAGTTAAACCAGTATAGCCCCTGTCAGAGAATCTACACCTAAGTTAGTAGAGCAATTACATATAAACCCAGCACCCTACCCTTCTGGGTACTGGGACATTGCATCTGGGGAGCAGATGCACCCTGGGGCTCCAGTCGCATGTCAGACCCAATTCTAGAGAGATTACTGTAGAGTAAAAAGACCACCAAAAATTAAACCCCAAACTAAAATCATTCCATCAGTGAAAAACAAAAGAAAAATGAAAAGTTCTAAAACCGAGTTTGAAAAGAGTGTGAAATCACCTTGTAGGAACTGGAAGTTCCTGGAAGGGTGGCTGGATTTTGCAAGAACGGGATTTTTTCCTGTAAAGAGAGACTGGAATGCTACACTCGAAGTCCATAGAAAAAAAGAAAAAGAGTACCTCCAGGGGTCACCCCTTTAAAGAAAACTGACACCCCAACTCCCTGCAACTATTAACTTTCAATAATTCCTCACCTAGGAATGGACCTTCATGTCCACCTCTCTCCTCCACATCTGGCTTGTGCCTGCTATGGCACGCTCTGTGAGCGCAGATGTATGCACACAGCTGCCCTGTTGTGTCCAGAAAACACTCTCTAGTTGTCCTAACTCAAATGTGAAAAGTAAACTACCTGATCCTGAACAGCAACAAGTCAAAGAAGAAATCAAAAGACAAAATGGTAAACATTTTGAGAAAAACAAAATTAGAAACACAAAGTCAAAAACAAAACAAACATATGAGATGTAGCCAAAGCTATTCTGAGAAATGCTTACAGCAACAAATAAATGCCTTTATTCTTTATTAAACAATATTTGAAAGAAAGCAGCCTAAATATTAGGGCTCAAGAAGATACAAAATAGAAGAAATTTAAAAAGTTAAAAAAATGAAAAATAACAAGGATCACAATAGAAATTGGTTTTAAAAAATAACAGAAAGACCAGAAGAAAAACAAAAGTAATCAATCAGTCAACCAATCAAACAATAAATCAATCTGAGTTAGATTGTGAAGACCATTAACAAAATAGAAAAATTCAATGAAGAACAGAAAGGGAAGACTGAAATACACAAAGTCAAAAACATAAGTGGGGACCAGTGTGACCACTGCCTTGGAGACAAGCAGGAAACAAGGTATGACCTTTAACCAGAACAAGCATTAGTCAAGCAGGTGGAGAGCATTCAGGAAATGTTAAGTCTTGAAAACACACAGAATTAAATGAGAACAAATAATAAAGATATTTTATAAATCCCGAATGTTTGGAAATTAAATAATAAATTTTTAAATAACTCGTAAGTAAAAAAAATCAAAATATGTAAAATGTATTAAGACACACTGAACTGGGTCTGCATAGGAATGGGGAATATAGCTGTACTTAGGGGAAAGCTGTAATAATAACGGCGAGCTTAAAAAAGAGGAACGCCTTCAAGTGAACAACCTCTGCTTCTGTATTAACAAAATTAAAAAAAAATAACTCATTAAACTTGAATTAAACAAAAGCTGTTTTTGAGCAAGGATGTGCCAGGGCGCTAAACTCAGACAAAAGTGGGTGAAATCACTGAATGTGGATCCCTCCACACGCTGGAAATAGGATGACAGTAACAAGCTTGGTTTTAAAACCCAGCTCTCAACCTACACACACACACACACACACACACACACACACACACAGCCAGACCCAAATAACTTCCGTGTGGAATCCCACCAAAAATCTAAAGGAAGTTTCTGGGCTGTAAAAACAGTGAGAGAACTGAAGAGGAAGTATACTCTCCCAGCTGTCCTCGATGGTGCTGCTGGGCAGGCCCCAGAATACCCGCCTGTACCAGCGCCTGTGCCAGCGCCTGTGCCAGGGCCAGAGTCTGCGCCTGCGCCCGAAGCCTGCCGTAGCCTGGTTTGAAAGTAGACGCGAGCCCATCTGCTCCTTTTATCATGGTTTATTTATATGCCAATTAAACTTTGTTTTTCTTTTCAGAATATAGTCATATGCTTTCAGGATTGGAAGCCATGGTCACTTAACTGGTTAGTGAAGTTTCACCAATGCGGAGGAGAAAGGCTCGCTTCTGTGAAGCCCAGATCAAGAGACTGTTTCCAGAGCCGTAGAGCCAGAGTGGGAGCAGGACACAACACCAGCATCCTTACTCCTCTGTGCAGTTTCCAGTGACTACCTACTGATACAGCCCAAGCCCTGCAGGGACAGTCTCCCTCGCAATTTCTCAGATGCCAAGCCACCATCTTGTCCACTGCTTCCCAGAGCCCTCTGGCTTTCTGGTGTCAAAACCCCAAACTGTGGCCTGCAGGCAGAAGCAGCAGCCACCGTCACACTGCGTATTAATTGGCCCCTTCTTCCAGCTGTCCCTTATCTAGAATGGCCTTGGGACCTTTTAAACACCTGCTTCAGCCAGAAACACAAGAAAATGTATTTCCACCCTCACTCCATCCCTCCATACTCTCTCTTAAGGGCCCTTAAAGAGCAAAACACTGTTCCAGGACAGACCAAAGCTTTCCTTCAGCCCCGCCCCCACCTCCCTTTCTGCCTTGCTCTAAAAAACTCAACTTGAAGGACACACCTATGACTTTCTCTATAACCCCATTCTTCCCCTAGACCTAACACCTACCTTTTTGATAACCGTGAGTTTCACTTCCAACTCGTTAGAAACGAAATACAACCGCTTGTTTTGTCATGTGTAAAACATGTATTGTATTTCTTGGAACTGTCTCCAAAACTCCAAGACTCATTCACATGCAGCCAACAGGCGTTACGTGCTCTGTTTCAGGTAAACAGGAATCTGATAAGACACATCTGTTTCAAACAACTCGGTTTCATGTTTGCTGGGTTTTCATCCTGAAAAACAGCTGGCACCAGAATGTGCTTGGTGATTCAGCGTCAGCCTTGTATATACAATAGTGGAGAAATAACCTGGCCCACGGCTCAAGTTTATGCTGCTCTCCTCAAATTTCATTGTAATAGTTTTGTTTGGCATCTAAAGTTTCTGCGAGTCCCAGTTTAGATTCCCCCCTCGGCTGGCTAATTACTACTCACCACATTTCCACCGCGCTTGCCAGTGCTTTCCTTTCAATGGTACTGGAAAGTAGTTCTTGTCCTGATGGCGTTTGCTTGCCAAGGGCATTTATTACAAAGAGGTGCCGAAGGTTCTGATGGGGCCCCAATTTCTTCAGCTGGTTCCACTCATGCCGAAGACCTTGCCTAGCCCACTTGGTTTGTTTGCTTTAATTCAGACTTGTTGGTTTTTCCCCTGCAATATGCTTTCGTGACCTGGAAAGTTTTAGCGGATTATTTTTCTAATCAACTGTGAGATCTTCTGAAAACCAGAAGTGTGGGCCAAAATAACATCACTTGCCGAGAAGCAGAATGGCACATGGCAAAGCTCAGACTTCATACACTGTGAGCTAGAGGTAATGGCTGGATTCCTGTACCACAGCCTACTATCCTTTCTGGGTCCTTGTTCCCCAGTCCTCCAAGTGACCAAACTGAAAACACTTTAATCCAAATGTTTCTGTAAGGAATGACTGACACTCAACAAATTCAGAACATGTACTACAGAGTGTGCCGTAAATTGTCCCCTGAGTAAATACTTTGGCTGCTTAGATGACTGAGATAACTAGTAAAGTCTTTGATGGGATAGTTGAATTAGTCGGTGGGTCGTTACGATTTCTGTATAGATAATTCCTTTCTGCTCAGTAGATCTAACTACAGATGCTTTTAAGGGGCCTTAGTTCTTCTCCCAGGAATGAATATTAGTCATGGGCCAAAGTAACTCAAATTACTCAAGTAAAATGCAAGCCCATTCTAAAATATAAATAAATTTCATTAACTTAAAGGTAATTTTTTTTTCATTATCTAACAACTCAGATACTGGGATACATTTTAAAATCTCTAGCTGCCGTCACAGTCAGCCAGGCATTGACAAAGCACTGGCAACCTCGGCCATAGTTTTTATGTCTTCCTGCCTTTGGTTGAGTTAAATGACTCTGAAATATTATGTGTATTGAGTTTAGCCATGCTTTACACGTCTTTTTTAAAGAGTAGAGATTACTGAGCACTGAAAAGAGAAGGCTATTGCATTGACAGGAGGCATGGCAATGGAACCAACAGAAAGAAAACGTTCATCTTTGATGAGATAGTCAAAATTTCATTGTGTCTTTCAAAGCAACAGTCAGATGCTCAATGCAATCGAAGAGAAGACTGCACTCATAACCTTAAAGCTTTAGGGTATGGTGTGTTCCTGAACTATGTGGACACCTTCTAATGAGGCCTAGAACCTGGGAAGGGACACAGTAATGCTGAAGAAATATAAAGAAATGCAGCATCCATGACTCTTAATGGTTGGAAGGATAATATTGTATGCACAACAGATAACACACTTGTAATCTGGAAAGTGAGACATAAACATTAGTCTGGGATGTAAGCGTTCATTTATTGAAGTAATAGCATTTCCCATTTTTAACCTATACAAGAGTAATAAATGATTTTTAAAATTATAGTCAGTCCAGATGAGTTCTTTCAGTGAATATAAAAAATTTAAACTAAGTGCTATGGAGGTACATAGCTTAATTGGTAGCATTGTTCTCTTCTTTGGTAATATAACAATGTATATACCAAATTGATGGGATTCTTTTTGTTGAGACAGAGAGAGCATACTTAATACTTCAGATATTTCTGTGTTAAAGAACCCATAGTTTATTGGAGGAGGGCAGGGCCTCAGTTACTCTAGGCAGGGATCAAGAATGCCCTTGGACTCTTGATTCCCTCTGCTCTTCTTCCTAGTGTTGAAATTATGGGTTTGCCTATATCACCAAACCCATCAGTAGGGATTAAAACCAAGCTTCACACATGGTCTGTAAATATTGTAACAAATGAGCAAGATCCCCAGTTGATGAGGCCTTATATTACAAAAGTTTATAAAATATTTGTTTTATCGTAGATTTTATGTAAAATACATGAAAAATAAAATTTAAAGACATAAAATTTTCTAAGCCTTTAAGTAACTGTATGCATGTATAAAATTATTTTGTCAGATATCTCTGTGATTGATTCTTCTGTAGTCATTCTGACTTTATCTTGCCTCAGACCTGTAAGGAGTTATTACAGACTCTCTGATTGACATTGACCTCTGCTACTTCAGAAGTGATTTAATAATTGTCAGATATTCTCTGGGATGGTTGAAAGTTCAGACAAAAAGACGGACCTTGGATTTTATTTTCCCTTAGACACACCAACACAATCTCTTATATTTAATCTTCCTTTGATTTTTTTTTCCATTTTATTTTATGGGTATGGGAGTTTTGTCTGTGTGCATTCTGTGCACCATGTGAATGCAATGTCAGCTGAGGCCAGAAGGGGGCATCCGATCCCTGTGGACCGGAATTTCTGAAGCTTGTGAGTCATTATGTGGGTGCTAGGAATAAACCGGCCCCACCCACCCTTGCCCTCTGGGAAGACAGTCACTGCTCTAAACCACTGTACCACCTCTCCAGCTCCACTATTTACCATTGTATTGCAGTTATATTAAAGACTGTAAAGTGCTTGTTCCAATAAGGCCTTCCCATCAAATTGGCTACATAAACTCAGGCTTTGATAGACTCTCTCCCTGAAACACATATAGAACAACTTGGAAGACTGGTTTAGAGGGGTCAGAAAGGCATCACCCAGCTCAGAAGCAAGATCACCACTTTTTTCTTGTACAAAAACACAAAACAAAGAGCAGAAACATCCAGAAGAACTAGCAGCCAAGAATTCAGCCCTTCTTGGGTAAAGAAAGCAGGCAGTGCTCCACAGAACAAGACAACAGGAATGTTTGCAAAAGTTGGGAACTGGACTCAGGCTCCTGCCTACATACATGACTCTGGGTACACAAGAAACTGTGAGTGTGACAAGACAGGAATCCAAAGGCAGCATTTCTGCCAGGGTTTAGACCATGCCTGTCCCTCTTTTCAGTTCTGGATAAAATGCCAGTCCTCTCAGCTACTAAGATGGTTTTAGATCTGTGTTTGGCCCAGGGTACCTTTCCACTGCCTTCTTAAGAAATTCCCATTTTACTGGTGAAATTATCTATCATTGCTCAGCTGTCAATCATCAAAATCAGAATTGACACTTAGCTTGTGCTGGGCCCAGCTTGACATGCTAAATCATAAGTGTAATCTCAGCTAGGTACAGCAGTCGGCAATATAAACGCTAGCGGAACACTTCATTTTTCTTTGCAAATTCATGTGTTTAATTAAAACTGAGTATGGTACTCTGTGTTTTCCATCTCATACCAAAGAATCTTTATGGTAAAGTTTCAATAGTCAGGGAATCAATAATAGACATTATGAACCAAATGATAAAGTCAAACCCAGCACCAAAAGCTTTTCTCAAGAAGAGAGATGATTAATTAGATGTACCAATGACACCGATAGCCTTGCCTAAAGCTCCAACAGGAATTGTCTAAGGGTTGAGGAAACAAAAATATTTATTGTCACTCTTTCTATAATATTCAAAAAAAGAGTTCCAATTTTTATCACTTTCTTCTTTTATTTAAATTTGCCCACTAGCTTATTAACAAATATTATTTAATTCCAAAGTCTTTGGAAGATGCATTACATAAACCAAGACACAAAGCAGAAAAACCAGAAGGCACAGATTCTGTAAGAGCAGTCACCCATCCCCCTTTAAAACCCTAGCCATCCAAGCTGCAGATCCCTTTGAAAGAGAGCCCTTGAAACCAACGTGCAGCCAGTGGCCTGTGGGTCAGGATATATATATATATATATAT